GGAACAGTGTCTGAGACAAACAATCACAAAATGACACATGTTTTGGATTTTCCATCTTCTCCTCCACCACCTCCACCTCCATTTCCTGGTAAAAAAGCAGAGAAGGAAAGTAAAATGAGTATTTGCTGTTCATTTTAGCTGCTCTATTTTCTTGTTACAGAGGTGTTGCTTTTGTTTTACGCATATTATGTGTGTTTGACCTTCTGAAATTTTGCTGCTTGTCTGAGAAACTGGAACATGAAGCACATGTTTATACACAGATGTGCACACAGTGTAGCAGTTGATAGTAGCATTTCTGAAAGGACCAAACACACACTGAACCACTCTTGCTGGAAAGTTTCAGGAGTTAAATACAGCTAATTCTGTCCCACACTTACAAAGCTGAGGTATGCAGGCCATGCAAAAGAAAGAAGCTCTGGGGTCAATATAATCTGTGCATCTATTTTTGAAGCAGATGGTACAAAAACTTTAACTTGACCTACTTGCATAAACCTTTATCCAATCCTGCATGGATCCCTTTGTAATTACCAATTAAGAGAGAGAGACACTTTGTATGTTTTTATCTATAGCTACTGCTTCTGTTACTGTCTCTCTCAAATGATTCCACAGATGTTCATTGGTCAGAGTTAAGGTTCTTTCAATGGAATAAACTGCGTTTCCAGGTTCATTTAAGGTAAGATACCAATATTAGAATTAAAACTTACATTTGAAAGCTGTGGATCACCATGTTACTAAGTCATTTTCGACCCTTTCCACCTGCATTGAAACATGTCACATGATCAGTGTGCTACCCTCTGTAATTTCTGGATATAATCAACACTGTGTTACTATGTACTTGATTTTCTCAGTTTCATACTGCATTCTGGTTTAGTTTCTGCTCTGAACTTTCCACTGTAGTGGTTCAGCAAATATGTTTATTTTATGTCTACTGAAGGGCTAAGAATAGCCAGGTCAGTGTGATCTAGAGGAACCACCATGGTTCAGCATGTATCAAATCCTTGTTTGTATGAACTGACTTGACAAACCCATATATTGACATGGCCTTGATTTGGCAGTGTCAGATCTGTTCCTCACTGATGTGCATGACCTCATTCCAGTGTGTGTTTAAAAAGATGCAGAACAATTCCCTTTCATGGTGTGATGCCATTTATGATATGCAAAGGTCAGATCTTTAGCACCTACAAATCAATCTGTGCTTGCCTGTATGAGGTTCCTTGTGGGAAAATTCTTCTTGCCTTAGGTCAGTGACTTAAGTGATTCCAAAATACCAGTGATGTAAGATGGTCCTGACTTCAGCTGGAAGTAGAAATACCTGACTCTTCCTAAATGTATTATTTATTTTTTACTTAAGAAGCTTATGCTTTAAGGGCATAAGATCTTACTTTAGTAATTATACTCTTTGCCAAGAAAACAAATGTATGAGGAGGTTTGAAGCTGTATAAGGAGGTCCTGGGTTTGGTTGTGTTGTGCTGGTATTTCTGTGAAGTTCAGATGCTTATGTTCCAATGTAAGGAGAGAGTGCTCTTTCCATACTGACAACCAGCTAGCTCTTAGCAATAAATTAACCTCAATTAAAATGATATGGTTAATTGCAATAAAAGGGTTATTTGAAATTAATTTGGGAGACAAGTAGGAGGATGTCATTTCTCTGAAAGTGCCTAAGTAGTACCACAGTGTGAGCAGGCCAGAATATTTGACTTATATATATATTAT